GCAAGGGAGCACAAGTGACAGGCACGAGTAAGATGGGTGTGCAGAAAACCATATTCTAATGCAAAAGCTGTGATGGGAAAATGGAATCTACACACCTGATGGGAATATTAATGCAAAACCATGACGTATAATTTTTCTTTCTTCAGTCTGGGCGTGCCAGAAACAATTGCAGCTCATTAAAATGGATCATGTCCTGACAGTCCTGCATAATGACCAAGTCCCACAAGTCCCATGGTTTAAATGTTTGCCTTGCTGGTGAAGGTAAATGTTTAGACCATTGGATTTGTGGGATGTGGACATTATCATAGAGCTGCATGGTCCTGCTTGACTAGACACAAGAAAGTGCAGCAAGCCTCCAAGACCCTTTCTCTTTTTTAAACCCAGTGTTACCAGAGAAAGAGCGAAGGGAAAAAGAACAAACCCAGGAGTGCCAGTGTGGGTTGGAGCTCTGGAGTTCATCTGGCTCATCTCCCTTTTCAAAGCAGGACCAACTTCAAAGTTAAATTCAGTTTGAAAATTAGCTCAGGTGGCTCAGTGTTGAGCACTTCCAAGGATGGAGATTTTGCAGCCTCTCTGGGCAGTCTGTTCCAATGCTGCCTTGTCAGGGCTCAATCTGGAAGCCATTCACCACATCACAACAACATCTGGCTCTACTTTCTTAACTGCTTTTTTGATGCAAAGCGTGTGTTGGCACGTGGGAGGCAGTAAGAATCAGTAGGGAAGGTGATAGCGTCGTGAAAAGACAATTCTTCTGCAAGAAAATAGATCAGAAAGCAGTCCCACACAAGATGGGGTGAGAAGGAAGGCACTGCAGTATTTTATTCTGAGTCTGGTGCCGTTTTTCTGTAAGGCACTGCCAGACCAATTCTTGAAGATGAAATAACCAAAGTGTTGTCCAGTCTGGGCTGGGTATTTGGCACAGACTTGGGATGTCAGTGCTGTGGTTAGCTGTGCTACAGCAACAAACACAATTGCATCTCTTTCTCCACTGAGCACTGAGGTCTGTATCCCTCTCCAGAGGCATCTCTCTCTTCCTTGGCTCCTGATGGAGGGAGCCAAAGGCAACAAACTTCCCTTCCTAGCCCTGACACCTCTGATATGTGTGAAGATGGATGGGCTGAATGCAGGCCTAAAATATTTTACATTTTCACGGTAGTTTCACAGCCCTGGCATTATCAAATGATCTTTCAAAGTACTTGGAGGCAGGAGGAGAAGAACTTGAGATAGGTTCTGGCTTTTTTGTGTCTGTGTACTTGCAAACTGTCTCTGCCTACACATCTTGCAAGGGCCTGTTCCTGTTTGGAGATGCACAGGGAAAATTAGTGCTCGTGTGGATGCTCTGTCTGCTCCATTTCCCCCCTGAAGTTTGGAGGCTGCTCAAAGCCAGTGCCCATCCCTGGGTGCTTAAGATCAGACTTGCCCTATGTGCTGCACTCCACTGACCAGCCTAGTTAGGAACTCGAGGCTAGGAAACACAAGACAATTTTAAAATCTGAACAAAAGTAGGAGATTAAGGAAACCAGCTGGAAACCTCTCTGTTTTGCTGATTTTGAAAGCAAAATGTGGGTCACAGATGTGCTTCCACAGACAGAAACTGGCTGGAGAAGAAAAAGACATCAGCATTGCCCAGACTCTTTGATGATCAGAGGTAGATTTAGCTCCTAGGCATAGAGACAAGAAAGGAAGAGGAGACTAAGTAGGAATAAAAACATAATCAAGATATTAGGAATGTGGAACGCAACCCACCCGTAAATTTGCCTTAGGGAACTACAAAAAAATGCAATAACAAAAAAGGATGAAACCAATTGCTACATCTTACACTCTTCCCTTGTCTTGCCTTCCTTATGGTTTTGCTTTTTGCAGTCCAAGACACAGGAGGTCCATTACAGAACCTTCCCTGTTCCTCCTTTGTAAAAGTGCTGTTTTCTACTGCTCCTTTGCAGCAGCTACCAAATCCTTGCTAAGGACTGTCTGACTTTAGATCCCCAAAGAAACAAAGCTTTGCAGGAAATCCACACTTGTCTGCATGTATCAGAGGCTAGAAAGCAATGTGCTCTGGCCCATCTGGCTCCAGAAGGGAGCTAACACTCACTTCTTATTTAGTCTAACACAAAAGATTAAACTTATTTCCAGTGAAATTGATGACAGACTGGCAAGAGCCACGCTGCTGACCCTTGCAGGCTGTTGATTAGCCTGTGACTTTGTCTCCCAGGGGCTGCAACAGAAGGCCTGTTGTTCCAGCCATTTAAAAAAACCCAAGGTAAAGCACTGGAAGAACAATTAAAGACAACAGCAGCACTGACTCAGAGAAGCCCAGGTGGTGGCTCCTTGGAAATAGCCAAGCAGCAGGGGAGGCTCTGGAAGCATTCAGGGCATTTGGGGGGTGGTTTCTGGGGTGAAGGGAAGTGCCCAGAGCACTCCTGAAGGTCTCACCTGTGCTGGCCACAACACGACCTGGTCACTTGGTGCCTCCAGGCTCTGGGCCATGTGCTGAGCAGCCGTGGAGCACAATCTCCAGCTCCTGCAGGAAACCTCCCTCCTGCCAGCAAAGTGCCAGTCCCTAAGGCTTAGCACCAGGAGAAGCCTGAAATGAAATGCTAGTGCAGCTCACTGCCTGTCACTGTTTTTCAGACTTTGGGGAACTTAGAATTCACTTCTTGTCTGGAATTTATTTTTCTCAGCCCTAATGAAAAGACATTTTGTAGCTGATAGTGTTTTAAATTGAGTATCAGTGTCAATAAAGACAAGCCTTTTCCCAGGGTGGGGAAAAAAATATAAAACTGTCTCAAATCTTCCACTCATGCAAAAGTAAACAAGCCCAAAGCATTGAAGAATTAAATAAAATATATGCCTCTTTTCACTGGGAGTCCACTGGGTTTGAGCAAATGCCATCTGAGCTCTCACTTGCACCACCATCTCCTTGATGGCACCAAGGCCTGGAGGTGCAGAAGGATGTGTTTTGGTGCCCTGCCATGTGACAACCTTTGCTCCCAGTGCTGGAACCACCAGAGGCTCCTGAGCACCAGCAGGGCTGAAAATGAGAAGGAATTTGTTATCTCCAGCTTCCCCATCCAACCTGGCCCAGAGAGAAAAGGTGTCCAGCCACAGCACAACTCACAGTGCAGCAGAGAGAGGCACCACAGCACTGCCCACAGAGGGTCACCCATCCTCATCTGGATGCAGGAGATTTTGTCAGAGACAAAATTCAGACACCAGAATTCATTTGGCTGGGCTGCAACCCCTAAACTGCAATTGCTGTGAATACTACAGCACAGAGCCTCTTCAGTTGATGCCTAGGAACTGATTGTGGTTTCAGAGCTCTTGCTGATGAATTGCACAGCAGCTGGTCATATTGGGAGGGCTCTGCTTATTATTTTCAACTGCTATCTTGCGTGGAAGGAAAATCAAAATACTTTCCTCAAGGTAATTGGCTCTAAAACAATTGAAGGTTTTTTCACAAAGGTGTAACACAATTAGGACTGGCATTTTAGATAATTTATATCTCTAAAGGTATGTTTGTGCCATCATACCGTTATTTTGTGAAAAAAAGAAGAAAAAAAAGAAAAAGCTGCTGGCAAGAGAAAGCTAATTTTGCTACTACAGGCAATGAAATACAGATTAAACCCATCATCCACCAAGTACTGATTAAAAGGCAGCAGAATGCCAGGATCATCTCTGAGGTGTGATCGTGGTTGGGTGGGATGCTGTGTCACCAACCACACATCTGCAGGTTTCCCATCCAGTTTCCCATCAATGCCAAATGATGTTTCACCACTTGCCTTCTGCTGCAGCACCTCAGGAGCTGCTCTCCCCAGCTGCCCTGCCAGCTTGGTGGCAGCAGCTGGTGCAGCTGGGAGCAGCAGCCCCACCACACAGAGCAGAACCAGCAGCCACAGCAGCGCCTGGGCTGTGTGCTGGATATCCAGGAACACCCCAAGCAGAGCTGCCAAACAATTCAAGCACAATAACAACTCCAGAAGTGCAGGAAACAGCTCCTGAACTTGTTGATGTGGGAGATTGTGACAGCCAAAAGCATGGACATAGCATTGCCTGACACCACTGGGAAGCTTCTGTTTCCCTGATTACCAAAAGGTCCAAGGGTACAGCTGGGGAAATGAATGCTCTCTGCCTGCCTGCTCCTTATGTTTACACTTAACCACTTCTGGATGACTCTTGCCCAAGACATAGTCCAGGGCCAGGGGCATTTTGCCTGACTGTAACAGATGCTGTGTTGAAATTATGGGATGAAAACCTTTGGTCTCCTGGCCTAGGTGGAAGCACATATATTGGATCAATTATCATTACAAAGAGGTCTGAACTGAAACTGGGGAGACACTGAACATCTCTTCAGAGCCCCAGCAGCCATTTATGGGTGGATGTCCTGTCCTCATGACAGTACGAGCCAAAGCCATGGACTCAGACAATTCCCATTGAATGACATCTGGATATGGTCCCTAATGGAAGAGAAGCCACGACTGTATTACAAGAGAAACTCAATACCCCTGGAAAAGTAAAGATGTCCCTTAGCCTGGGTTGTAATCCAGCTGACTTATCAGTACACTGTACAACCACAGAAAGTACAGCGGGAAAGGAAAGCAAACAAAGGAAAGAAAAGCAAACCCAAGAGCTGTACTGTTGTACAAAGCAGGTGATCACACCCTTCTGTTCTCAGTCAGACAAAGGAGCCATCTGCTGTGCCCACAGGTTGATCTGCCTATATTCACTAGATCCATGTTTGTAAAAACCTACCTTGGGACATTTGGGAGCTGTTTGGGAACCTGGCCTTGGGGTCACAGACCTGACCCCAGGGTGGCCAAGAGGGGACATGAATGTCCTGCCTGATCCTTTGTGCTTTGCAGTGGCCTGTGACACAACACACATCCCAGACTGTAAGCAGAGACACGTTTAGCTCCACTGCTATGAAATCATTCACTTCAGTTAAAACTTTAACAAATCAAATGCAGCTTCTCAACATGCAAGGCCATGGAAGGGATACTCACTACTGGGCTGAGTCGTTGAGCTGATATTCCCGGGACCGGTTGAAGCATTCCTGGATCCCAGAGTCTGCCCAGAGCCTCATCATAGCTGACAGCAGCTCTGGGGAGAAGGGCTCTGTGTCCTCCATCCGACTTACGACATCGCAGACCATCTTGGCATCAGCCTGCAGAGGAAAGAAACAGGAGCTCACACAGATGCTTCAGGCAGAACTTGGAGCCAGAGATTTCACCAAACCATCAGGAGTAAAGAGGTCGTGTTTCTCAGGATGGGATTTAGCTTCCACACTGTGTGATCCAGCTGAAAGGGCAAAAGGAGGATGGAGGAAGGAAATCACAAGGAAAAAGATTGCTTGTGCAATCCACCTCATATCAACAAGTATTTCTATTCAACAGACAAAGCAGTCTGCACTGCACGTGTGGAATTTCATGGGAACAGATAGGAATTCATACATGTACAAGGACATTTAAAATTGTTAGCAACAACATCTTGCTTTAACTGAAAGTGGAAACTTGCTGAAGTGGGGGCTTTGTATCAGAAAGAACAACAGAAAGACTCCAGAAACAATTTTTTCCAGATGCTGGTTTATTGCTTTTCCTAAATTCTTGTTTTTTGCTATGAGCCCCTGCTAGGAGAGCTAATTCATGTTAATGCAGACCACCTTGGCTGGCTGTGGTGCTGTGTGACTCAGAGGGAGAGGAATCTCCCACAGTTACAGAGCATGGCAGTGAGGGCAGGGCCAGCTGGCCATTCTCAGACAGAATCTTTTTTGGTGAGAGAAAATGAGATTCACTGGGACAGCAATGTTTCCTGGAGGAGAGTGCTCTGACACAACTTGGGTCTGGAAGATGTCTCAGATTTAGGATGGGAATGTCTAGACAGCCTTGGAATAGCTGAGTTCAGCCTTCCTGTAATAGTCCACAATGGCTGATGCCTCACTTGTCTGTGAAGAAGGACACCCAAATTCATGACCCCCTCTGCTTGCTCTGCAAGAAGTAAACTCCCACAGCACCCATAGACTCCTGAAACCCTTGGCATGTTGACTAATCTGCAGAGGTTTTCTTTCATTGCTTTGAAAATCTCTTATTTCCACTAGCTGAAACAAACCCAGTTATTATTGCTATAATTAATTGGAAAAGAGGAGCTCTCGTTCCTTGTGTGTGTGCAGCAAACTTGTGAAGATTTCTTGTTTTACTCTCTTGTCTCCTGTGTGCTAGACTGAACCCATTCTTGGCCAAATGCAGGTGGAAATCTTTGCTTTCCAGGGTGTTTGATCTAAGCCAGAAACACAAATCTCGAGAGGGGATTGCAGGCTTTGCTCATGCTTTGCTGGGGACAATCAGAAGTGCCATCACTGAGGAGCACCACAATAACCTTATTGTATGGATGGGAATGATGAATGTATGGCAGGGTCTGCATGGTCAGGATCAAAACTCTGTAACCTCTTTGCTGAACACTGAAACTGTGGAAAAATTGCAGGGCACCAAACTGAAAGCACTGGAGACTGCTGGAGATTTTAGCGCTCAATGAAAGAGCCTCAGGTGCCCTGAACATCCAGCCTTTATGGGCTGAAGAAGTCTCAGTACTGTATGTCTCAGTATTGTGTCCCATAAAACTTAATGGGGTGGACTCTATGCTTTGAAGGCTTTATGAACATAAAATCTTTCTCACAGGGCACTTTACTTCATATTTTAGTGCCCAGGAATCCTCCCAGCCCTCTGTACAGACTCTGCTCATTTTGGAGAAAAAATATTGGTGACTCACACCTCAAAGCCAAGACAAACGAAGAACCTTGAAGAGTTCAGTTAATTTCAAAAGCTAGTTTTCTGCCCTGGAGTGCTTTGTGAGCTGAGTGAATATTCATAAATCATCTGTATGATTTGCCTGCCCTGCTGGAGCAGCAGTTCTGCTCTTTTCACAGACTCTAAATAACATAAAACCTGCTAATGGCTGCGGTCTGCCTTGGCCCCAGTATTTGTGTATGGGTGATGCAGGAAAAGCATCCATGCTTCCAGTCAGGTAGGAGGATATCTTTGTATGTTATCTTGGCTGCTGGAGGGGGTTACAGGTATAAGCCACAGATCTGTTCATCTGTCTGTGATGGCAAAGCACATTTGAAGCTCTCCAGCTGTCATGGGCATGGTCTGGGCTTCTGAGTTTTGTGGATTGAACTGCAGGCTGCTCTTTGCAAAACATCAGAGGCAATGGCACAGCCATCATATTTTCTGTGCTGGGAAATAGCTGCATCACCTTTTAAACTACTGGACTGGTGGCAGCTCCCTGTGAGTAAGACCCAGCACAGGGGGTTTTGAGCAGGAGACAGATGAACAGCAATGACAAGGCACAATGGGAGTGCCCAGGCACAGACATTTCTGGCTGTGGTTATCTGTGAGTCTGTTGGACAGAAGTGCGGCTGAGCACATAGAGCAGGGGATTATTTTGGTACATGCTCCTCTGCAGTAACTGGAGGTCCCTTTTGGGGACAGGAGAGGCTCTGCTCCCACAGCATGGACACCTGCCTGCAGGGCAGACAGTCAGCAGGCTGAAACAGGGGAAGAATTTGAAGGAAAGTTTATTGCTTCTGCTGAACAGTAGTAAAAATATTCCAGACTTAGTTTTATTTTGCAGAGTGAGCCACTGAACTCTTGGTTTTACAGATCCAGAAAATGCAGGTGCAAAGAGTACTTTTAAAAATACCCCTTCCCCCTGCCAAGGCTGAAGTCCCTCTGTCAAGGAGCATGGGGCCAGGAGTTCAGGCATTTGTTAGATGATTTAACGAGCAATTAAGGATCCAAGAAGAGAAGATCCCCCTTTCTTTTCTCACTCTCCAGGCTGTGTCTCAAGCTGGGAATGACATTAAAATCTCCAACTCCCCCTGGGCCCAGCAGGTAGATTTTTAAATACTGCCTGATTGACTTTTCCCTGCCTGCCTCCCCTGGGTGTGCTGCTCCTGCTTTTCCTGAGGTGAGAGGAGCTGAGCCGCCTGCCATGCACTGCCTCTGTACTGCAGCCAGCAATTAAATAAAGCAAAACAAAACAGGCAAACCAGCCCCCCATTCCCCTGCCTGGCCGTTCCCACCCAACAGGGCTGCTGTTAATGAACACCACGGTGGTATTTCAGCTACCTCGGGAGCTAAAAATAGGCAGAGCTTGGTCCCTGGCATTGCTGGAAGGAGCTACAAAATGGTGCAGGGTTCATTCCATCACTGCTGCCTCTGCCATTCCCAGCTGCTCTGTCTTGGAACAAAACATCTGGGAGGAGGGTAAGAGGTCAGGCTGGTCTCCTTTGTGCTGTTCTTGCCCAGCACGAGCATCCCAGCCTGTCTCTGCAGCATTCTGACACGTCCTGCTGCCACTCCCCATTGGCTTGCACTTCCCATAGCAGGTGAAACCCCAACACCTGAGCTGAATGCCTTTGGGCAGCTCATTATGGAGAGTGGATGGAAAGTGGGGTTTGACGCTTTGTGTCAGTCCTGAATGCTGATTCCATCCAGCTACAGCAGGAGAATTAAATCTGGCTGGGCATGGCCTGGGGAGACAGCTGAGCTTAGAGACTGGTAAGGTGAAATTAGACATCCAGCCTTTAGACATCAAGCCAAGAGACCAAAAAAGGCTTTACTAAAGAACAGACCTCCATTCTGGTTGGGGAATGGAGAGGGCTCTGTAAGGCCAGGGCAGGGTCTGAAATCCACAGGCAGATGTGAACAAGAAGCTTGTAAACACAGTGGGCAGTTGGCATGTGTCATTCCTAACCCCAGGGCGTGGGCATACCTGTGCACCACAAATCCAGTTCAAAAGGGGATCTGTTCTCTCCCTAACCTGGATATAACTGCAGCTATTTAATTGTCTCCCATATGTCACTGTCACCAAGCTCACAGCCTGTGCTCAGCATACAAACTTGTGACTTGCAGCAGCCACACAGCCCAATTAATGTGTTACCTGGCTGGAAGGGACAGGGGCCCCTCCCTGCAGTCTGACACTACTGGCAGTGGTGTTTGTCTCTGCAAGCAGGTTATTTTCCATCACCTTGATACAGACCACCCCTAATTACTTGTTCCTCACCACCACCCATGACTGGTGCCCACAAAGACACCAGCAAAGCTGCTGCTGCCCTGGCTGCTGCAGAGTCAGACTGGAGTAGGACCCAGGTACCCATCTCTGACTATCCCAGGGCAAATCCTACCTCTGATCCTTTGAAGTTGCCTGGACACTGACTAGGAAACTTTCTATTTTAAATTTTTTTCCAAAAGGAATAGTTTTCTGGAAGGGGAATTTTAAGGGAGAGGCAAAACCTTGTGTGAAGCTGTGTGGTACAAATCTGCTAAACCTTACAGAGCTGTGCTGTGTTACAGCCAATGGAGGTATGAGCTTGTGGGCCACACTGTACTGTCCTTTCCTTTTGGTGAACTAAATCCCAGTAAATATCAATTTTTTTGCTATTATTTGCTCTGATTAATGATACTTGTCACTTATCCTGTCTCAAAGATTAACCCTGGGGCAGTTTCATTTGGTGGCTGGTTGTACCAGGAGCTGCTTCTCAGAACATTTCAGAAAATCTATGCAGTGGGGGAAATGATGAGCACTGTAAGCACTTCAGTTTGGCTGGGGGTACGAGGCAAATCAGCACAGTACCAGTCATCAGCAAGAAATCTTGTGGAAATAGTAGTGGCCATCATGAGTGATGAACCTGGTGATAATCAAACTGATGTCTAGAGACCATCCAGCATCCAAAAAGGACATCCTTGGAAGGGAACCCTTGTGGGGGACCAGATCCTGACCTCAGGGCACAGCAGTGTGTGCCTCTGCTGCTCCAGTGAGAAATGACGTCCTGTAACTTCATGGCAGAACGCGTCTCATAAACTGAAAACCTCCCCCTTCTCCTGAGACTGTCTCAGAAATATGGATCCCACTTCCAACCAAAGAGTGGCTGCATTGCAGCAAAAGCCAGTGATTTTCACAGAGTTTCAGCCTGATTAAATCCTGGAAACAAAGCATGGCTGGTGAATATGTCTTTTCCAGAAACATCCAGGGCCCAGCTCCAAGTCCATAGAAATTTTTGTAGACACTAAATAAATAGCTACATGTATGACTCTCCCCCTCACTCTCCCTCTCTTTCTCACACATCTGTGTTTCAGAGCTGACCTCTCCATCTGTGGAAGTCTGTCT